TATAGAACCGCTTTCAAAACACCAATTGGAATGTCTCCCTATAGACTTGTGTTCGGGAAGGCCTGCCATCTCCCGGTCGAACTCGAACATAAGTCTTATTGGGCGGTAAAAACATTCAATCTTGACATGGAACAAGCGGGAATACAAAGGAAGCTACAACTCCAAGAGCTAGAGGAACTTCGACTTGAATCCTATGAGAACACCGCCATCTACAAGGAAAAGACAAAGGTATGGCGTGATAAAATGATAATGAGGAAGGACTTCCAAATCGGAGACAAAGTCCTTCTCTTTCTCTCACGCCTTCGTCTTTTCCCCGGTAAATTGAGGTCACGATGGGAAGGACCATTCGAGGTAGTCAAAGTCTACCCCCACGGAGCAGTTGAAATAAAGAGCCTGGACACCGGCAAAATCCTCAAGGTTAACGGACATCAACTCAAACCATTCCTTGAAAGTTTTTCAAAAGAAAGCGTTAAATGCTTGGATCTCGTCGATCCAATCTATGAAGAATGAACTATACCATGGCGTCGTGCCGCGACGTTAAATTAGGCGCTTCTTGGGAGGCAACCCAAGCAAGGTATGTTTTCTTTTCAGCTTATTTCATTATGTGTGCGTTTAAAAAAAAAAAATTAGAAAAATGTATCTGGGGACATGCTCGATCGAGTACTCTGTAATACTCGGTCGGGTATTGGTAAAAAAAAAGGGACCCGGTTTCCATACTCGATCGAGGTGCAGATCAATTTTCAAAGATACAGGCATACTCGATCGAGTATTGGAATATACCCGGTCGAGTATGCCTGGAAAATCAACTCCATCGGAAGCCTGCCTCCGAGGCCCGATCGAGTACATATTCATACTCGATCGAGTATAAGTGGAAAAATAAAAGCAATAAACCCCTGCCTCCTATACCCGATCGAGTACATATCAACACTCGGTCGAGTATAAGTGGAAAAACAACTTTTGTATGCCCCTGCCTCCGGTACCCAATCGGGTATACAGGGATACTCGATCGGGTACCCCTGCGATTTATACCCCAAAACACCCATTTTCACTTCATCTTCTCCAAATAAACACCCAACTTCGAACACATCCCCTCCCAACCTCCATTTTTCCATCTTCTCTCTACCATATCTCCCTCATTTCTTCACCAAATCATCTCATTTCACCACCAAAATACTCCCTTCACTCTCCTCTCCATATCTATACCCAAAAATCCCATTTCCCCCAAACTTACACCAAATCCCAAAAACCCTACCCCCATTCGAATTTTTGCCTTTTTAAGCTCAAAAGCTTCACAAATGGCTCCAAGGAAGGACAAAGGGCAGAGTTCTAGAGCTATGGCACCCATCCCGGGTTTCGAGGACCTCATTCCTGCCGACAACGATCACCGAGCCCGACTCCTCACCACCGTAAAAAGGCAAGTAAAACCCTCCCGCTTTCTATGCCATGATGCACTACGTGAACTAGGAGTGTATAAGATTATGAGGAAATTCTTTCATGCGTTGAACATGGACCTTGTTTTCAATATGAGATACAACTCAAATGAAAGGATTATTTATGAATTCATGAGTTCAGTGCACTTTGAAAGTGATGAGGCGGATTTTAGGGATGATAGACTCGAGTTTCGTCTGTTTAACCGAAACTATTCGATAACGAAACTCGAGTTTTCCGAACATTTTGGCATCCCCGTCCCCTACGAAAGGTCCATCTCCGATAACACCATTTTTGGGCATTCTCTATGGACCAAGATGACTGGGGAAGTGAACTTTAGCTCCTCCCAAATGTATATAAGTCATGTCCAACACCCCATCCTCCGGTTGTTTTTGAAATTCTTGGCAAATTGCTTGCTTGGGCGACCCAACAATCACCACACTAGAATAGGGGATGTGTGTTTGATCTCTGTAGCTTTATTTCGTTGTCATGTGGACTTCAATTTGTGCAATCTCATTTGGGCACACCTCAGAAAGGAAAGCATGGCAAAAGGAGCCATTGTAATGGGTGGAGTAATCATGCACTTGGCAAGCAAATTCGGGTATACGGATAACTCTCCGATACCTGACTATTGTTTGATGGACATAGGTTGGCTAGGCCGCTCGGGGTGCACCGCTTTCTCCCATACGGTCTATGATGGGGATCAACAGAAGAACATGTATAATTGGATCATACACACCAAACCGGTCCAATACTTTCTAATGCCAAACAAAGACCTCCCCAAAATAACCTATAGACCGGAGTTTGAGGTGCCCCATTTCCTATTCCCTCATGCCCTTCCACCACATGTCCAAGAACCACAAGCCCAAGATCTCCCAGAAGACCAACCCGACCAAGAACCTCAACCCGAGTACCAAGAACCCGAGGTTGCACATCACCACATGCCCGCACCTAACCAAGCTTTCCCACCTCCCGATTACTTCCAACAACTGCTTGACGGATTTAACAGAGTTACTAATGAAGTTGGTAAGTATCGCGAGGAACAAAGGGCGGGATTTCAAAGGCTAGAGGAGCAACGGACCGAAGACAACCGAAGGTATGAAGAAGATCAACGTAGGTTCTATGGACCTATGTATTCCTACATGGCTCATCAAGGCCAATTCCACACCATGGCTCAACCACCACCACCCCCCTCTTGGTATGACCCCACTCAATGGGGCAACTTTGGAGGATCGAGCTCCGGGGGTGGCGGTTTTGATGGCGGGGACGACGGTGGCGATACTCACATGGGCGATGGGAGCTATGGAGGCGGCTTTGGGGGCAGTTACTATGGCGGAGAAGGCGGGCACTAGGGACAGTGCTTCAACTAAGTGTGGGGGAGGAGATTACTCATGGTATGTAATTTCATTTTCTACCTTTTACTATGCATGAATTTCTTTTACTCTTTGTAAATAAAACAAAAAAAAAATGGATAAATAAAAGAATTGAAATGCTAGTTAGGTTGAAAACCCAAGAATGGGCAATCTAAGCAAAAATGGCTTATAAAAAAAAATTTGAGTGAGTTTGGAAAGGATGGAAAAACAAAAAGAGATGCTAGGATGAAAACCTGAAAAGGCTCCTAGGCAAAATGAGAGATATGAGAGAAGTATTTGTTGTGTGCAGAAACTCATTTGATCTCTTGAAGAGAAAGAGGAGAAGGCAAAGAAGAAGAGGCAAGAAGATGGAGCATAGAAGATCATAAAACCCAAGAAAAAAAAATTTTGTTTTGTAAAAATCATTTTCTTATTTCTTGGTGATCTTAGTTCCTTTTTGAACTCATGGAATGATCTTAAACTGTTTGAAACATTTGACTTTACTCGAGGACGAGTAAAGAACTAAGTGTGGGGGAGTTGATACGTTTGTAATTTCCGTGTGTTTATTTACGTTTTTAGTTAGTTTTGGTTGTTTAGTATTTCGGAAATTACACACTTTCGGTGTAATAGTTTAGTTTGTTAAAATCTTGTAAATTGTTTAGATTAGGTTTATTCTGAGCTCAAACAGGTCTGACATCACTCAAGGATAGTTGGTGAAACCCAAAAAGTGGAAGGAAGGTGCAAAATCACAAGACAAAAGAAGGAAATCCTGATTTTGTCTATACTCGGTCGAGTATCTCCTATACTCGATCGAGTATCTGGTTGAAATTTCAAATCGGATCAGATCCGAAAACAAAGGAACATGCAGAGGAAGATTTCCCCACGATCGAGTGTCTATACCCGATCGGGTACACCGACATACTCGATCGGGTATAGCTAGGAATTCTACTATAAATTCGATCGAGTATGGATCGAATTCAGCTTTCTGCACATACTCGATCGAGTACATATATATACTCGATCGAGTACCCGACCTACACCCCAAAAAAGCCTATAAATACACCTCCTTTCCTTCACAACAACCTTACCAATTCACATATACTTCTTAGCTCAGTTTAGACAAGTTCTTTCTTTATATTTTTCATCATGTTTAGTCTCCAAATGAGGAGCTAAACTCTTCCATCTCGGTTTTGCTACTTTGAAGCTTAATGATTTGTAAGTTGTGAGTTATTTTCTTTAATCTTCTTCCTTGAATATTAATTACTTCCTATTCATATTCCATATTAATATATTGAGCATTACTTAAAGTATCAACTAGTCTTGTTCTATATATTAATTATTACTAGAATCAATCGGTTAATACGCTTGTTATTAATTCGATTCTTTCATGGTAGTAAACTTGGGTTGTTAATGCATGCTTCTCATGGTTAATAAGCCAAGGGGAATTAATTATATTGATTGAACCAATAAACCGCTTGTGTTGAGGTTATCAATCTCAATCATTTTCATTTTGATTTTATTGCTACTATCAAGTTAATATAAGGCGCTTGTTCTATATTGACTCGGTAGTAAGTTTTATTAATGAACGCTTCTCGTTATTAATAACTACCCTCGATGAATTGGATATACTCCTCGATTGAGTATTCGAGAGGAAGATAGTTAAAGATATAACCGGGATCGATGAACAGTTCATTAAGTGGATAAAAGCAAAGCCAAGTCTTCTTCTCATTAATTAAACCACATAACTCATTCATCTTCGTGTTTAAATATAATTCAAGTTCATTTACTCAATCTAAACCCCCCCCCTTGTTACTATTTTATAAAGAGAAAAAAGTATTCCTTTCCCTGTGGATACGAACCTTACTACACTATACTACGTATTAGTGTCGTATTGATTATTATTTTGAGTGCACACCACGACAAAGTGCACGTCACAAAGCTATTTTTTGAAAAAAAGAATTAAAAAAATTGAATCCAATAAAAGTCTCATCATATCAGGAATAATCTAATCCGGTCCTGGAATTGAATTATATGGTCCAAAATGTCCAATATTCAATCCAATACTTTTATAAATTCTGATTTCAATCAAATCAGTTCAAGCCCAATAATCCAATGTAGTGTGATCTTGGAGACTTGGAGTGGTGCTCACCCTTAAATCCTTAATACGATGTACTCCCTCCGTCTCCCTAATATTGGGACGGAAGGAAGTGATGTGGTACTGTGGTTTTTAAGAAAAGTAGAATTATGTGGTTGATAATGAATTGATAGTGGGACTAAAGTAAGAATGAATTAGAGTCACACAAATGTTACCAAATATGGTATGAGACAATAATAGTGGGACATCCAAAAATGAAAAAATGGGACAATTATAGGAGGCGGAGTACTAATACGGGCATTGGTAGGGGCAGGGGTAGTTATCTATTATTTGAACATCCTTCCTCTCATAATACCATGCTCCAAATAAGCTCGCTAAACTCTGTCATTAAAAATTAAAATAAGAGAAACCATATCAATTTAATTAAGGGAAACTTAAATAAACCAAAGAGCTCAATCTTTTTTCAGTGAGCATATACCACCATGATCCTTTATTTGTTAACACAATAACTTAAGCTAGGATAAGTCCAGTTGCTAGGTGCCATGGTTATAGAAAAAGTAATATTGAGAAATTGAAAAGTAAGAGTGATGTAAAGGTTAAACTTGCCAAGTTAAGAAAGCGTGACAAATAATAAACAATCCACAAGAAAAGAGCAAATCAAAGGGTTGCGCTTGGTGTACCCCAAAATGGGTACTATTTTTACCCCACCCATTGTATGGTTCAACGAGGCCACCATTTAAATGAGTTGCCCCATTTGAGCCACACAATAGGAGGGGGTAAAATGGGGTGTATTTCTTATCATAAAAAAACATAAAGAAAATATATACGATTATTTGTGTGTGATGAATGATTGACTAGCCTCTAAGATCTTGATCATCATTCTTGTACTTATTCATATTTTTCATATAACAGTTTAAAAGCATAAAAAACACTAACTTAATACATGCTAGAATTGCTGCACAAAATATAGATTGAATACAATTACCAACTTATTATGATTCCAATAAACATAGAAAGAATTGTAATATCAACTCATATTGGTGGTCTGTGTACCGGGTTAAAAAGAAAAACTCATTTATGCATTGATGATAAGAATCTAGTTAACTGATATATATGGGGTATATATTACTATGTATAATAATAATTTCACTTGTTGATATAGAAAGGATTTTTATAACGTATACACTAACTTATTATTAAAAAGAATTTTATCTAAACAAACTAGGTCAGAAGTGGTCTGTCCATCATGTAGGGTTTAGTATCGCGGTGGCGTCGTCTCTCTTCCAATCAAGGGTTTCAGGCTGATTTGTCGGCCAGTTTTACGAATCAAGTTTTCATGGTTTGCTTATAGGTGTGCAGTCTATGATCAGTCCACAAGAGGAGTACATTCAGGGTTTGTTTGATATATACATCTTGTTTCCCTAGGTTGTAGTTTCTGATCCTTTTTGTTTGGTGATCCATTGGCCAGGAGTAGCAATTGAGGCTTTTTTTTTTGCGCTTTTTTAAGTATTTAGTGACAACCGGTGTGCTAGATTGGAAAAGTTTCTGCAATACTAACGCAGGTGAGTTTACAATAGGGATTTCTTATGATGATGATGTCAGGTTGGGAAGCATTCTATGGCACAATGTCCTTGGAAGGTTGATGTCCAGAGAGCATAAATGTCAAGACATGAAAGTGGATTCTGCTGGTCAGACCCGCCGCATATTTTGATTAGAATTTAGGATATATATGATGTGCTCGGGTACTGTTATCGAGTTCAATGGAGGGCAGCACAATCATAATTGGGGAAAGGAAGGGCTGGCCAATGCTATTTCTATTGGATTCGATGCAGTCTGGTGGAGGAGAGAAATTTGGTCTTTTGTTTTAGGGAAAACATACAGATATACCCTTTATGGTTAACTTCAGGTGCGGATATATGCATGCCCCTAAAGTTAAGAAAGGTGCAAAAATATCCTTAAAATTTATGTGTGTATAATTACAATAATTCTGAAGGTATACAAATTTTATGCAACAGGCTGACATACCTCATTAGTCCCAGCAGTATGAATGTACCAACTATCCTGATCTACTTGAGTATGAGCCACGGGAGAGGTTATTAGATATCCTTTAGAAAACGCTTTGCCTTTTTTGGGTAGGACGGTGAGCAACTGTGACCTAATATCTAAACATTAATAATCAACAACGTGCATAAAGTTAATAATCAAATAATGTACATTTTATGTACGATGTATAGATCATTGAAGGGAAAATATAATCCAAACCTTGTGACGCTTCAATTTGACTCAAAGTGCAATTCTTCAGTCCAGCGCATTTAGTCAGATCAATTGACAGTGTATAATTGATCTGCAGTGCGCGCGCACATAAAAAAAAATTAGTTCCTTGATCAATTCAGTGTAGGTAAAATATGGACATTGGCACTAATAAATAACTGGACAAACTATTGATTACGAGGTCATGCTAACCACGATCTTTAAATAAACGGTTAATAAATTAGAAGTGGAAACTTTTTTGTTTCATTTGCTAACATACTCATCAGCATCTTTTCTACTGAACATGCTTCATAGCCAATACTTACAAATTTAGATATAAGTTTCAAAGTTTACATTATCTTCTAATTTCTCAATACTTACAAGTCCTGTTATTATTCTAGAGAATCTTTCTCTTGCTTTTTCCCAATTCTATTTCTTGATTACTTCTTGGTTGAAGTCTCTAAATGATTTCTTGCATTGAACACAAGAAAAATGATTTAGAGAAGTGCTAAACTATTTCTTGATTGAAGTAACTAAACGGATTAGAGCATGAGAGAGCATAATATAGCTTTACTAATAGATCGGCCATGATAGTGGCGTGGTACATATACATTACCCTCAATTAATCTGTTTGGGCGTTTCATGTAATTTTTTCACTCTCTAATGCTTGCATTGAATTCCCTAGCAAACCCCTATTTCTGTTTACTCATTTTCTTGTTATTTATTTTCTATTTAATATTTTAGTTTAGATGAATCACATGCTTCATCTTTGTCATTTTGTTTGAGCTTAGCTGATGATAATTAGTATTTAATTAACACGCTGTTTTATATGTCAAACAATTGTCATCTTTAATAGTTCGAAAATTGTTTTCTCTTTCACTCTTTTATTGTGGTTTTGAATCAAAGAAAAAAGAATCAAATATACCCAATATGTCTCTCATTCAGAAAAATAATCAAACCTGAACATAATCGAAGGCTGACATAAGGAAAAAGATGGGTGTTTTAATATCTCTCTGTAAATTCGGTGGGAAAAAACACTGCAAAAGTTGACAAATTTAAGTTATATGTCACTTACCAACTCTGCTACAAAATAAATTTGAATACGATGCATGTATTTAATCACTTGATGTCACTTACCAACTCTGCACTTAATATTGTTGTGCAAGATTTTGGCAGAGCATTTTCTGATTTCTGTACCAATTTAAGGATACTTAAATTTTAGAAAGTTAAAAATTAAACACATTACATGTATAGATAACTAAAAAAGACAACGATAAATTATAAGAGCTATCATGTGGGATAGCTAGAGCAAAAGATTCAAGAAGAATACGTGTAGTTTTATCAGGCCCTCAAACATTGACAGAAATTGGTTTCCATGAGTATGATTTTTCCTGTTAATAATTATAGATATGTTCAATATATGCATAATCGTATCTAGAATTCATTAAATGTAGTTGGACAAATATTATATATGATTCAAATTTGGAGGATAAATAACTTACGCAAGAAAAAAATAGCCACCGTCACACAAGCATTTTACTCTAGAAGCTGGTGGAAACAAACTTCGAAATCTGTCACAATAAATGGTTGTTGCCACTCCACCAGCTGAACTTCCCACTAACAGAGCCTACATTTTGAAATTAAGTATAAGAAACTTGATTACAAATCACAAACTCGCTTTTAATTACTATGCAGGAGTGCAGGACTATATTGGCTATAAATTTGAAAAATAATATACGTAGTAGCGAAAAGGAGTAAAATATGAGTTACGTAAAATTGTAAATATATAGGACCATTCTTGTTTGGCCTTTTTATTCTAATATTATCATTAATTAACTGATTTCCGATAAAGTGAGATAAGTTTCAAATACCCAAAAATATGACTCATCTGTTATACACCACATCGTTGCACACAAGGAACAAGCCATTTATCAGTTGCACAGCAATCCGTTATTACACCAAGTATAACTAAAAGGCTTTAATGAATTTTAATACTCCGGCAGTCCACTACAACCGCCATTGCTACCACCGGCGCCACCAGCAGTCTTGCCGCACCACCGCTCAGTGACTTGCTCCGGCCATAGTGACCGACGCTCAGTGACTTGCTCCGCTCATAGTGACCACCGCTTAGTGACTTTCTCTGGCCATAGTAACCGCCGCTCAGTGACTTGCTCCGGCCATAGTGACCACCTTGCTCCGCCCAGTGACTTGCTCTGGCCATACTGACTAACGCCCTCCCATAATAGTGACTATCACCGTCCGTCGGTCAGAGACCGTTCCGGCCACACAGTCACTTCAAAGCCACCGCTCCGGCCAACCACCGCATCCCAGCCCCAGCCCCACCAGCCCCCTGACCCTCAGGCCCACCACACCCAACCCCCCAACCCCACACTACCCCGCCCCAGTCTGCACGATCTCTTCACCAAACCCAGTCCCCTCCCTTGCCCTGCCACAACCCCACACCCAGCACCCTCCCCAGCCCCCTCCGACCACCGCCGGAGGATAACACGTTTTGCCACCGCCGGAGACTACTACAGTCGGTACCCTCCCCAACTGCCCTGCCCCCCCTCCTTTGCGGCTCTGCTCCCCCCCCCCTCCCCAGCCCCAAACCCCTGCACTCCCCCCCCCCCCTCTCTGATTCTCCCTGACCCCTCCCCTATCCTCAGATTCCCTCCTCTCGCAGCCTCCCAGACCCCATCCCCTGTCCTCGCCGCATTCAAACCCTAGCCGCCAGCTTCTAGCCATCGTCATCCCCTTTCGCCTTCACGTCGCTGAACGAGAATAAAGGAGAAGAAGAGCGAAGACGAAGACAATGAACAAGGTCAGATCCGCCAGAAGCAGATCTTCATCTCGAAGAAGGAGATTTCGAGCAGCGGAGGGGTTAGAGTCGTCGTCGCCGGAGTATCACCATTGCCAATGAGTACTGGCCGTCGTCGCCGGAGCCTCGACGTCCCCCCCCCCCCCCCCCCCCGGGACTTCGCTGCCCTTGCTGTTTGCGGAGATGGTTGGCTTTGGAGGAGCACGCTACTGCGTACGTCGAAGTCGATGGCGGCGAGGGTAGATCTACTTTGCGTAGATATGTCGAAGTCGTTGGCCTTATGCGGATGAGTTTTGAACAGGTGGATCACTTTTTTGGGAAAAATGGAAGTTGTCATAGTTTTGGGATGTTAAAAGCTGTAAGTAATAAATGGGCCATTTTTTCTTCTTGTTTTATGTAAAAAGACTTTATTCTGTACTGCGTACGTCGAAGTAGATGGCGGAGAGGGTAGATCTACTTTGCGTAGATATGTCAAAGTCGTTGGCCTTATGCGGATGAGTTTTGAACAGGTGAATCACTTTTTTGGGAAAAATGGAAGTTGTCATAGTTTTGGGATGTTAAAAGCTGTAAGTAATAAATGGGCCATTTTTTCTTCTTGTTTTATGTAAAAAGACTTTATTCTGACTTAAAAGGGAATAAAGTAGGAGGTACTTCTTTTTATAGCACTCTAGGAGTCATGGGTTCTATGTTTAGAAAAAAAGATGGGTTAAGTTAATTCTATATATGAACTTTTCTAGCTCAACATTAAATGCATACATTTTTAGCATTCCCCATTCCTTTGTTCAACAGCTCTTTCATCACAGCTGTGTAGATTCTCCATCCTCGGAAGAAAAGCTTAGTACCCTACAAGAGAATTCAACAGATACAGATGCAAATGTATATATAATAGGCTTCTTAAATCAAACAAAGAATGTAGACTATTATATGATTAGTGTACAGATGAAACAAACACCTACACAAGCAATCATATTATTTCAATTAATATGTGCATCCAGGGACGTTCCCTGTGATGGCGGGCTATGACGCGGCCGTTGATTGGCAGTCTCTAACCCCAAAATTACAATGTTTAGGTGTCAAAAGTTTTTCGTGCTAGTCCAATATTTATGCAGAATTTTGAAGAATATGCTATCTCTAACTAGTGGTAAGTTATGTCTTCTAGATATCATAAGAAGGTGCTTGTTGGGTTTCGTATTCAAGGATAAATTTCTACTCTTCCTACTTAAAAATTAAAATTCCTATTTTAACTTTTTATGGGACAAAGTTTTTCAAGTTTGATGTTAATTACGCAACAACATAATAACCCTAAATTACAACAAGAAAGTACTTTTCAAAATTTTGTTTAGTGTATATTACAAAATAATAATTCGTTAGACTATAAATAAATAAATGCTAAATAATAATGGTCAAAGTGGACATTGAAACTGCAACTATCAAAACAGAAACTTTAAATAGAGATGAAGAAAGTAATTCTCAACTATTCAAAAGAACAAAATAATGTTCAAGTGTAATCAGTCTATGCTAGTATTATTACAATGCTACTGTAATTTTGAAGGACTGTAATAGTGAATCTTAGCTTTTTTCACTAATCTATTACTCCGTAAAAGATAACCATGGGCGTAGTACTTAGCCAACTTGCTGTGTTCTTTTTTATTTTTAAAAAAATACGTAGTATGAAATACAGTGATAATATTTTATTGGCTTGATATAGGGTAATATTTCATTCAAGATTTTTAATGAATATCAAGAGAAATACGCAGTAAATCTATGTTTGATCAAGAGAAATAGTATTTTTTTAAATCAACCGTACTTACAAATTAATTCTTTTTGTTTAAAAAAAGTTTGTTGTTTAATTTAACAGTAGCTTTATCATTCAACGAAAATAGGTGCTAATATTTTCATATAAAGCTTGAGAAGTTTATCTTAAATAGATCGTGTGGAATTGAATCGAGTGCCAAAAGTATAAACCAGCAACTAGTATGGACACTTTTTTATCTTCAAACTAATTGCGTTTTCTTTTTCAGCTAAAAATTCAGAAGGTTTGATGCCTAGAATTTTATTTAAACATCTGCATGATAGAAGGTTTGGTGCGGCGAGTGCCAAGGGGAGAGAAGTTGGTCATAGGAGGCGACCTCAACGGGCATGTGGGCTTGAGTCGTGATGGCTTTGAGAGTATTCATGGCGGACATGGTTTTGGCACTAGAAATGAAGCAGGAAAGAACATTTTGGATTGGGATAAGGGTCAGTTTGGTCCTCGAAGTTGCAAAAAAGGGGTCAAATAAGTCCTTATATAGAAAATTCTGTCTGGACGTGCCATTAGAGGTGGCTCCTGGTGGAATTTTTTGATGAATTTTTTCGAGCATCTTGTTCATTAAGTCTAGTTTACTCATACCAAATTTCAAATAAAAATTCAATCAGGAAGACATTCAAATGAATTCTTGAAGATAACTGTGCCGTTAAAAGTGCAGTTATCTTCAAGAATTCATTTGAATGTCTCCCCGATTGAATTGTTAGCTGAAATTTGGTATGAGTAAACTAGACTTAATGAATAAGATGCTCAAAAAATTTCATCACAAAATTATATAGGGAGCCACCTCAAATGGCACATCCGGACAAAATCTTCTATATAAGGACTTATTTGACCCCTTTTTTGCAACTTCGAGGACCAAACTGACCCTTTACTCATTTTGGATTTTGCCTCGACGTATGAGTTGGCTATAATGAACATTTGGTTTAGGAAAAGAGACTCTCACCTTGTAACCTATAGAAGTGAAGCTAATAGTACCCAAATTGACTACTTCTTAGTACGGACTACTTGGAGAACTAGCTACACCGATTGTAAGGTTATCCCAGGTGAGAGTGTTGTCACTCAGCATAGGATGCTTGTGCTTGACTTTCGAGGTAAGAACCATAGAAGACAAGTTAAGCAACAAGTGGAGCCAAAGATAAAGTGGTGGAGGCTTGAGGGGGATCTTCAACAAAGCTTTACACATAAAATGTCCGGTGAAGATGTATGGCGTATTGATAATGGAACACATGTGGAGGATGCGTGGTTATCGATGGAGCTGACTATTAACAAAGTGGCAAAGGAGGTACTTGGAGAATCTAAAGGATGTCTGCCACCCAAAAAGGACACGTCGTGGTGGAATGATGAGGTGAAACAAGCCATAAGGAACAAAAGAGATTGCTACAAAAAGATGGGGACAAGTCGGAGTGATGAGAACATAGAAGCATACAAGGAGGCTAGAAGACAAGCAAAGAAAGCCGTAAAGGAAACATAAGGGAAAGTGAACAAGGAATTGTATGAAAAATTGGACTCTAAGGAAGGAGAACAAGATATCTATAGACTTGCTCGTCTTCGCGATCGTAGGACTCAAGATATCGGAAAAGTTAAGTGTGTGAAGGATGTCGATAAAAGGATATTAATGGAGGACAGAGAGATAAAAGAGAGGTGGAGGTCATACTTTGATACATTGTTCAACGGGAACAAAGTGCAAGATATCGGTGATTTGACCATACCAGATTGTATGGTAAATCGGGATTTTGTGAGAAGGATCCAACCAACGGAAGTTAAAGAGGCTCTGAGGAAGATGGGGCGGAAGAAAGTGGTGGGTCCAGATGGCATACCGATCGAGTCTTGGAGAAGTTTGGGAGAGAGAGGCATCGAGTGGTTAACAAATTTCTTCAACAAGATTTGGAGAAACAACAAGATGCCAACGAGTTGGAGAAAGAATACTTTTATTCCCTTATTTTTTAAGAATAAAGGTGATGTACAAGAATGTGCCAACTATCGAGGGATTAAGCTTATGAGTCATACCATGAAACTTTGGGAGCGGGTGATTGAGCAAAGACTTCGAAGAACGGTGAAGATTTCAGAGAATCAATTCGGTTTTATGCTTGGTCGCTCAACAACTGAGGCTATTCACCTTCTTCGGCAACTTATGGAGAAGTATAGAGACGCTCACAAGGATTTGCATTTAGTGTTCATTGACTTAGAAAAGGCATATGAGAGGGTACCTCGAGAAGTTCTTTGGTGGGCCTTAACTAGAAAAGGCATTTCACGCAAGTATATCAGCATCATCATGGATATGTATGAGGATTGTACTACAAGTGTCCGTACTAGTGTAGGGAGGACTGCGGAGTTCCCTATTACTATCGGAGTGCACCAAGGATCGGCTCTGAGCCCTTTTTTATTTGCCATAGTCATGGATGAACTTACAAAGTCAATTCAAGATGATATACCGTGGTGCATGATGTTTGCCAACGATATTGTATTGATTGATGAGACGCAATCAGGGGTTAAAGCAAAGTTGGAAGTATGGCGACAAACATTGGAGAACAAGGGTTTCAGACTAAGTAGGAGCAAGACAGAGTACATGGAGTGCAAGTTTGGTGGAGGTAGAAGCAGTGGTAATAGCGGAATTACTTTAGATGGTAAGGAGATACCGGTCAGCGATATGTTCCGTTACTTGGGCTCCATAATTCAGAAGGACGGTGAGTTAGATGGAGATGTATCCCATAGAATCAGAACAGGGTGGATGAAGTGGAAGAGTGCGTCGGGATTTCTATGTGATCGAGGTATGCCGACTAGATTGAAGGGTAAATTTTATAGGACAGCAATTAGGCCTGCATTACTGTATGGCACAGAGTGTTGGGCGGTGAAACAATGTCACATTCAAAAGATGAGTGTGGCAGAGATGCGCATGCTGCGTTGGATGTGTGGGCATAATAGAAAGGACCGCGTGAGGAATGAGACAATCAGACAAAGGGTGGGAGTAGCACCTATTGAAGATAAGATGCGGGAGTCGCGCCTACGGTGGTTTGGTCATGTGCATAGAAGACCGAGTGATGCACCTGTCAGACGAGTTGAGATGTGTGGAGAAGAGGCAGAGAAGAGAGGGAGAGGAAGGCCCAAACAGACATGGGTTAGGGGAGTCAGAAGTGATATGCTTCTTCTTGGATTGGATGAGGGTATGACTTTGGAGAGAGCAAAATGGAGGGCGGGTATTCGTGTGGAGGAGTGATCTTGTATCATCTTTTCCCCTCTTTTTTTTCTTCTTCTTTTTTTTCTTTTTCTTTTGTATTTTTATCCTTATATATAAATATTACTTTATCCTTTTTATTTTATCTTTTATATGTATATTCATCTCTTTTATATTATCTTTTTTATAATAGTTTATTTTTTTTTATCTTTATTTTCTTTCTTTTCCTTTGGTGATATCATGTATCGATTCATGTTAGCCGACCCCAATATCGTTTGGGACTAAGACTTGGATGTTGTTGTATCTGCATGATATTAAAAAATAAAGGTACAAGTAAAGAGAAAACAAATGCACAGAAAATAAATACCAGATCAAATAATGTGTGTGTCTGTGCAAAAAAAAAAAAAAAAATGTGTGTCTGTGCAGTTCATTTCGAAGTTATACTAGGGCCTTAAATCTCAATAACAGAGACCAATCCTTTAATTTCTAAAGGAAATATTGTAAGAGCTATTATCATACATTTGTCTTCGTGATCTCAGAATTGCCAGTGAACGATGACGCATCACAGTACCGGATAGCAACCTTGTTCCAGTCAAAAAAGTCTGCATGTTTGTCATAGATTAGTATTTAAAAGATTTCCAACCAATGAAGAACAGAAAAAAGAGAGAAAACATCAAGCGAAACAGCCTAAGCTTATAGAAATAGCTAAAATATATACCAGGATTCTTCTCCTTGTTGGAACTTAAAATATGATCAAAGGAAAATGGTCCCGGCTCCGAGCCTACACCTTTTCTATCAAGGTAATCTTCACAATCACTAACATTTTTACACCATCCGCCTCCCTACAGTTGTAAAGAGTAGATACAAGTTCATCATAAAAAAACATAAATCATACATAGGTATATCGAAGCTCAGTAGTACTCTATGCATTTCAAAGAGAAAAATCCTTAAGTAGGACTATAATATACACAATCACACTTACGCAAATAGGACCACCGTTCATCAACATAGCACACATGCATTCGATCCCAAAAAGGGATGTTCTTAACCACTACGGAGTATTATTCTTTTATTAGGACTAAGCAACTCCTGTTTTTATAATAAAACAAAACAAAACTACTCCGATCTATGCACCTTACTCATGTTTTACTCTTATTTGCCACAATTCGACAATTGCAAAATGCACTTGAAGGTAGGCGTTAACACACACATATATATACATACATGTAGACGTGTGTGTGCATGTATGTATGTATATATATATATATATGTGTGCGCGCGCGTGTACGCATACACAAAGCCCATCATGCTGCATAGAAGATACTCAAGATAGGAACCTATTAATGTGACATTAAATACAAAAGCTGCACATTATCAATACATGTGATAGTTAAAGCCCAAATTTAAAGAGAATAGAAGGTTTTAGAAAAGGCAACTTACAGGAAGATATACAATCCAATTTTCAATCCCATTATCGAACCCTGGGACGTAAAAGTAAGCTGCGGGATTCCCTCCCAAGCAAACTTAATGGAAATGGAAAGTTAGATTTTCATATATGTATATTCACGAATATACTAAATCTAATCAATGTGATTGAATATGTGTATACCTGCTCCATCGTCAACCCTAACTAAGGTTGCATTTACCAAGTCAGCATCACCTGAAAATGATTCTCATTTATCAATAGGGTTATCATAGTTGCATATGCCTCTCATAAGTAAATAAATCAAATAAAATATAAATGAAGTTATCTTTTTTAAGTCTACAAGGCCAGGTAACTGCCTACCCAAATTTGAATATGTTGTAAATTGAGACATCAGTAAAGTGCTATTAGTTTTTTTGCCATTTTTTAATGATAAAAAGTATGGAAGCATTATTAGTAATATAGTATGACTCCATTTTAGTTCATTACATACAATATATATCACATAACTTTTAGAATTATAAAACCAACATAAACTGACGGTGTTGTTAAACGTGCCCCTAGCAAACTTCTAACATCTAGCTTTCTCTACTTGAGTAATGTGAGTATGTGACCATATCTTTACTCAAAAAATAATACTAAAACTTCTACATAAGAAATCTTTAGGACCAAACTTGTATATGCTAATTGAGGTGCTATACGTGTCTCTATGAACAGAGATATATGTACAAAATTATTAAATTTGGACTAAGTTATTTGATATTATATGTAGGATATTCATAATTCAGTTAAAATAAAAATTACTTTACACAAATATATCCATTAATTGTACCACGTCATCTTCTAAAAAGCGTTATTAGTGAGTTATATATGTTTCGCGACTGGGGCACTTTCTTTCACTCAAAGTGCTTCGCAACTTCAATAATATTTGCATATTTTTTTTTTGCTTATGCAAATAAATGGTATTTGCTACACGATATGAGTGCTACAACGATATGCATAATATAATACGGAGTATTAGTCAAGTTTCTTCATATCCCTTACTCCATACTAGTTTTAGATTTACCTTTATTTAAGAATCCATAATAAAATAATATCTCATAGATAAGCAACTCTTAACTTTCTGAAATAGAAAATATGAATTATGAAATTAGATACAAGAATGCTTAGCATTTTAAGAAAAACTTAATCTTTGTGCAATTTCATGTGTAGTAAGTACTATGGACTGAAAGAGTTAACATAACACATGAAAGTAAATGTAGGATTACTAGGACTGGGAATCGGGGATGGAATCTTCAAATTTTTAAAAAGTAGTGAAGCCGTAGAAGATTGAGAAGTACACATTGTTGGAAACTGAATGATTAAGAGGTGGAGCGGCCAAGATTTCAGAATAAAACACTCAAGTTAACCAAAAAAATCAAATTTTAACTATTTCGATTGAATTAAAAAAATATGCACTCTGTGCACTAACTAATAGAGAAAGAGTTTCACAACGACTAATTAAATTATATATGGTATGAATATGAGAACAAAAACTCAGAAAGATGCCCTGAAGCTAAGCAGCCAGAGCTATGCTTTAATGACACTAGTACTTACTGTTTGCATAGCTATTTAATACTCGTAATCCTTAAAATGTAGAATCAATTATGATTCATAACTGTAATAAGTTGTTTGGGTAACATTTCCTGAGCAGTGATCTGAAAATAATGAAGTTTGTTTGCATGTGACAAAGAATCAGCTTTTAGATCAATAGATGGTAAAATAGTACTCCGTACTACTTTTGAAAAATAAGCTGCAGATTTTCAACTTCTCAAAAACAGCTTAAAACTTGTGGAAAAGTTTCTGAGAGAGTATACCATTCCCAAACATGACTAAATTTTCTACCAACAGCTGAAATTTTATATCAAAAAAACTGCAATTTTACGCTCCCAAACAAGCTCTTGTGTTGGATACGTAGTATTAGATAAGCATTCATGTGTAATAAGTTCTGAAAATCTATCTAAAGGAGTATAATGACATCCCAAAGACACCATGCTGATGCTAAGATGGCAATTAGTAATTAATCTTCAAACTATACATATATATAAGAAGAAAACATTAACAGAAATGGTTACCCTCTTTTGCCAAAGCCAGGGAGATGATGAGTGTGATGACCAGTAGAATATCACCAAGGTTTTTCAAAGTAGAACCCATTTTCAGTGTTTACTGTTTACTCAACTCAAGGAAAAAGATCCAAAGTAGAAGTGAAGAATACTAGAGAGACAAAGAAGATAGAAGTTGCGATGACTTTGAGTGAATAAAACCGTGTACAAGAACATTCATTTATATTGTAAGGAGGTGATGAAGAGGGCTTACAAAAGAAAGGGGCGGGTGACAGGGCGTTTATGGGAAGAGTTAACACTATATCCATTTTCTGCTCCAACATTCATCCAAAGGCAGGGGATTAGCTTCCATCCTTTTGCAGCAAAAAGCACCATCAAAACCCCCATACTGTCCAGCATCAAAAGAAAGCTTTATTCAAACCTTTTCGGGTAACAACCAGCTGGCGGCGCTTTCTACAATTCAATGCGGGGTAAACCAGCTAGGGCTCTTACCACAAGCAAACCTACTGGGGTTGAGGGGCCCCACAATATCCTGAAACAGAATTTTTTTGAAGTGAACATAAATGCATATACACATGTAATAAAATGCACATCATCCGTATACCCAGGGGCGGATGTATGCCTTCACCAATGGGGACATGTGCCCCCAATAAACTTCCAAATTTTTAATACATAATGAAGTAATTCTTTATTGCAAAATGGTAGATTCTATGGTACCCTTAAAGTACCATACCTTTGTCCACATGGACCAATAGGAATGGTGCAGTTGAATTAATTAAATCTAAATTAAAAGGAATAAATGATTTGGACCAATCAAATGCATGATAGGTAAGATACCCCAATTTTTAAAAGGGTACCGGAGTTGTCACCTTGCAAAATATGTTTCCCCAATGAAAAATTTGTGTTGCCCCCAATAAAAACTTATGTTTCCGACAATAGTTTTTTTAGTTATAGAATGATAATATGAGAGCTTCTAGTTGTTTTCTTTATTTAAATTGAATCATATAAATCGATCAAAGCAATCCAATTTTGTAAGCAAATCATATAAATATAAAATTGAATAAAAACGACCTTAATTAAATTACTTTAATAGACAAAAAGTAAGCATTATTGTTAAATGCACATTATTCTTGTAGGTAAATCAATCAACTTTTTAAATGTAAAAGTAATTTCAAATAATACTATCGCATTAAAATAAGTATTCTATATCTTGTGATTATGAAGGTAAGCATTACTAGTCACATAAAAATAGTATTCTGTGACTTAGACATATTTTTTGGCACATATCGATTATTTAATATTCAAATCGTGAAAATAAAAAATTGTATAGTAAAATTGTTCAAATTCAAGATCTATTGAACTGATTTTGACATTAACCTTTTCTTAATAAAAACTATAGACCTCCAAATTGCATTAACTAAGTTTTATTATATTATTATAGAAAGTCCATTTCTTTAATATTTTTTAGATTCCATAAATATACATGTTACAATTAGTTATTCATATTTATTATTGAAAAGCCATTCCTTTGATATATTTTTGGTTTCATAAATTTAATTATATTCTACAATGAGTTTATCTATCCAAACTTAATAGCTGGTATATGAGATGAGATATGTATAAACTGCAAAAATATAAATTCTTGCAGTTTTATCATTCATTATAACCTTGAATTGTATATAAGCTTGTACGGAGTATATATTACTAGTATATACGTAGTATTAATTGTATATATAAGCTTGAATTGTATTTATAAGTTTGAATTGCATGTATTTTATAAGCAATTGGATCCACAGAGAGAGTTGAACCTCTACCTTATCTTTGTGTTAGTTTACATGCATACACACACATGGTCTATATTATAGAATTGAAGTTCAATTATGAAAATTCTACCCTTTTAGCATAAAAAGATCATCTTTTATTTGGTCCTATTAATAAACATTTTTGGCTCCAATAAGTTAGATTATGCCCCCAACAAATATGTTTTCTAGATCCGCCACGGCTTATTAGTAAAAAAAGTATTGAAGATGAACAGTACCGCGCAGATGGGAAGGCTAAGAGGGGACAACCCAAAATTCAAAATCGCAGATGAACAGTGAGCGAGATACTCAAAGTTCAACATTCCAATGGGTGGTTTGAGCCAAGAATCCAAAAGAAAATACTAGTATTAGATTAATGTAGGTACTAGGAGACGATCCAGAGAGCTGAAATCAGTGAAAGGAGAGGAAGAAATCAATCAAACCCGTGGGTCAGTCTCTTGGAGCTATGACTGAACAGCATAAAAGAGGAATAGTACCCGAGCGTCGCCGAAAACCTCCCCATCTCCGTTCAATTTGTCACCGTTATCATCTTTAGCTTCTTGAGACGGAGGATGCCGTTTCTTGTTCTTCTAGCTACCTCCCCATCTGCAATGACAGAAGGGAGGAAAAATTGAACTGAAGATTAGGGATTAACTCCTGTCTAGAGAAAAATTGGATCCTATAGAGAGAAAACTTCATGTCCAGCCGGCCTGACGGGAACCCGTCCGGCCTAGGACATTTAGAGCACTTCCTGATCCAATTTTTTGATGAAATGTTTTTAGCATGTTCTTCATCAGGTCTAGTTTATTCATACCAAATTTCAGCTAAAAATTCGATCGGGAAGGCATTCAAATCATTTTTTGAAGTTGACTGCGTTTATATATATTGAGTCCCGTTCCTATCAGGAGCTCCTGAAGAGAAGCTCCGTGCGGACAAGAACATCAGAGGGTCTTCCCGGTGGAATTTTTTGATGAAATTTTTTGAGCATGTTCCTCATCAAGTCTAGTTGGTCCATACCAAATTTCAGCTCAAAATTCCATCGGGAAGGCAGTCAAATAAATCCTGAAAAAATATGGTGCATTCTGCGCACATATAATGTGCAGTATGTTTCCAGGATTTATTTGACTGCCTTCCCGATGGAATTTTGAGCTGAAATTTGGTATGGACCAACTAGACTTGATGAGGAACATGCTCAAAAAATTTCATCAAAAAATTCCACCGGGAAGACCCTCTGATGGGCTTGTCCGCACGGGGCTTCTCTTCAGGAGTTCCTGATGTGAACTGCCCCCTCTCTCTCTCTCTCTCTCTCTCTCTCTCTCTCTCTCTCTCTCTCTCTCTCTCTATATATATATATATATATATATATATATATATATATATATAGGGAGTGGTTCCGGTAAGAACAGATCTTAGGAGAAAAATGAGAACGAATCTGGACCGTTGGATTGTATTATGTGGAACAAAATTGTGCATTTGGTGAAACTGAAATGTGCATTAAATGATATTGAAATGTGCAAAATAAAAATTTAAACTCAAGTACGTGTGCATTAGATTAAACTGATATGTGCGAGAAAAAAAGTGTAAAAATAACATCACATCGTACTTTTTATATTGCACATTTCAGCTTCACCCAGTGCACATTTCAATTTCACGTAATGCACAATTCAACTGTACATAATGCCACTCTATCGTACCCTATGTGATGCACATTTCAATTTCACCTCATGCACATTACACTTTCATCTAATGCACACTAAATTTCACTTGAAGCAAATCTAACGGTCTAGATTCGTTCTCATTTTTCTCACAAGATCGTGTTCTTATTTGAACCGAAACCTATATATGTCGAAGAATGTTTATGTACATTTGTACAACCTCAAAAACACCTACGGGCCATTCCAAGTAAGATGCCATGTCACCTCAAAAAACCACCTAGCTACATATACATGCTAGCCATCACAACAAATGGTGACGAAATTGCAAAAATCAGAATGTTATCATATGGTATGAATACATAGAATAAAGCACTTTATACACCATATACTTGATGTGTGTGACCATATCCAACACCGTAGTCTTGGCCTTCTCAAAACGTAGAGTATTTCTAGTACGTCAAATCCAATAAATTGTGTAGCAAAAAGAGAGTTTCACGGCCTTGACTTTGACATGTGCTCCATTTGTTCCTTTTTTATCCATTTGACATTTGACCGCACTTGAAAGTGTTGTCATCTGCCTCAAAAGTCCAAGCCAGTCCATCACTATGCTCCAAACATGTCCTGTAAATGTACACTCAAAATATAAGTGTGATACCGTTTCCGGACCACCCTTACAAAGAGGACAAACATTAACTACATCAAGAAACCTCAACCTATCATATGTGGCTAACCTTCCCGGAAAGCAAGCCAAGTAATGAAAGAAAATTTGGGGGTATAAGGCTTCCAAATAAAGGACATCCAAGGATGGATAGTAGAGTTAATCAAATCATACACTTGTGAGTTTTGAAGAAGAAAGCTTCCCATTTAGGGAGATCTTCCGGGATTCTTCCCAAGGTAAGTCACGGCCATCTCTTTTGAAGGGAAATTGGCCACAATCAAGTCCCGGATTATCCCAAACTTTTTCAATCTATCATTGTATCATCCCAGGTCCTAACATACGGTTTATTTGTTTTAGTTTGTTCTTCCTTCTTCTCTCCCTTATTTCCTTTTTATTTATTGTCTTCTTCCAAAAAAATGTTTTTGACGATTCTATTTAATTATTTCAATAAACTATATATCATCTCTGACTCATAAATATGTTTATTCTTAAAAAAATAAAAATGTGAATTGTTACTAAATATTTATTTTATTTCTTTGAGAAAAAACTTTAATTTAGTCTTTTAGTTATTGCTCATGTTGAAATGTAGTCCTCGTTAGTAAATATGAATTAACACATTAAATTTTTCACACTTAAGATTGTAACTTAATACACAGTAAAAGACTGCGCTTATACACTTTCATACACATTTTCAAAATATGTGGTACTTAAATTTAAAAACTCTAAAGTTAGGTCGTAAATAAAAATGTCAGTAATAAAATTCATATAGACGGTGCATAGAAAAAAGTTTTAGCTTGGTTAAAAAATGTATACTTTTTATTCACATTTTCAAAATTTTGTTATTAACAACTTTTTCTCTAATGTAAATCATAGACAAAAATATCAATTGGAGAATGTCTAATTTTACGGACAACAAATGTGTAGAATAAATTTTGTCTACTATACTGGAGAAGACCCGGGAGTTCTTGAGTATGTACAAAGTCTACCGGAGTGCACAAAGAAGCAAGCACCTTGTAATGAGTGCAGAAAACATGTCCTTGCACTTGTACAACAAAATGGCGATTATACGACTGAGGATACTCCCTCATACGTTGTTCACAAATTAATAAATGGATCGGAGAAGAGAATGTTACTCTTCATGGTTGCTTATGACCATCACCAAGATTATGCTACTTTTGACGATTGTACGACAGTTTTGTAGAACATTGAGACTACATGGAGACATTGTCAATCTAATATAATGTAAGGATGACTAGAAAATTAAATTCAATAAAATTGTTTAGGAATGGACTTTCCTTTGAAAAATATTCCAATGCGCCTTTAAAAACACCAATGTGAATTCAAGTCAAATATGATCTTTTACTATGCTTATAATATACTGACACATTCATTCATTACTTAATATGAAAGCTACATAATCATTTTTCTATGAGGTCGTTTGGTAACATTATATTGTTTTTCGTTTTATTAGGCTTATCAGCCAACTTTTTCACCAAACACGTAACTTTTATTTTCGCACGCTGAATTGTGTAATAATCAGAAAAAATAAGGTTGAAGTCACTTTTTCTGACTATATTGACTGAAGTTATTGTAGATGACCATAGCTATATACTTCTACATATATTTTTTCATTATTTTATTAATAAAATATACATTTTAAAAATAATGTTTTCTTAAATTAGCAGAATCAGCTAATGTAGCCACTTCAGCCGAATCAGTTTGATTTTCGTGTTACCAAATGAGATCTATATCTTTCCTATTTAAAATGGACAATGTCATCTCTAAACTGACCCAATAACATCAACAACCGATGAATCACACAAGCTGAATCATACAAGCTTGGAAATAGCAGTGATAGCACATCCAAAATGTACTTGGACTACTCGTGCTGAATCATACAAGCTAACGAATTTGGTGATGATAATGCCAATTAATTAAGCACAATTACATAATTGAGATTATAGAACAAATAATTAAAAAATTCTCTTGATAATGTACTCATGAGGAACACTCTCATAAGAAACTTTCGAGGTTTAAAACCATAGACAAAAACGTAACTCTTCTATAAGGTCATTAGGTCAAATCCCCTGAACTCCTGAAGGGTCACTAGAGATATATTTAAATGAGGATTAACTTCAGTACCCACAAGTTATTCAGATAGGATTATAGGAAATGAGAACAGACATCGCATTAGCAAAAAAAATACCTTACAATATATATAACCAAAACTTGAAGGCCGTGGCGGACCTAGAGCTTTTGTTAAGGAGGGGCACTGCAAAATGGATAGAAATGGGTCGGTCACGTTAGGTGTGAGAATGGTCTTCTATCTCGTGCAGACAATTTTTTAAAAGAGAAATAGTTTGTTCAATGTCGGTTCCAAGGAATGTAGACCTGTAATTTATATGTCTAGCTTCAACCTATTACAACCATTCTGAACAATAATACTCCGTATTCAGTATTTTAAAAGAAAGGCATGACATGGATTACAACTTAATTATATTTGTAATGTTTCTAATTTTCATATTATAAACTATTAAAATTTAACTTTTACAATTACGATCGTGTCTAACCATAAGCAATCATTTCATCATAATTCCACAGTCGTTTAAATGTCTTATAACGATTTACATACTCTTTGAAGCTAAGGGATTATTACCTCATTTAGTAGTAATACAGAGTATTTTTTTTATCCAGATAGGTGGGACCAGGGACGGATGTATGTGTATGGGTAGGGGGGCCATGGCCCCTCCCAACTTTTTTATTTTTTAGTAATACTACTATTATAAATGAAATAATCAGTAAAGATTGAGTCAAAACTACTCGATAGAAGCTTTTATGTGAGATGCTTTCGGGTAGAATTTTTTGATGAATTTTTGTGAACATGTATTTCATAAAGTGTATATTATATCCATTGTATTTCAGCTTACATGCAATTGGAGAGTCAATTAAATAAATTATGGAAAAACACTGAGTTTTTTTTTATATTTTTTGGTACAGTGTTTTTTCAATAATTTATTTAACTGATTTGTCGATTGAATTTTAAACTGAAATTAGGTGTAAATAATCTACACATCATGAAGAATATTGTCATAAAATTTCACCCAAAAAATCCATCCGGAAGCACATCAAACACAGACATCCGGATGGTGGATCCCGTCATGTAATTCTGAAAGGATCATTCCTCATTAAAAATATGAAAAAATATGTTTTACTCCTTGAATAGATCTTATTTAGTTCTATTAAAAATTATTTGATTAAAGTTTGCCAAAATAGGAGTCAATAAGTCCTATTTTGAGATTAAAACAATAATAATCCTGTTTATAAACTTTTTTTTTGTCCTATTTAGAGATTTTTTTCTTTAGTGTTTGTGTTTGTTCTTGGCCCCCCTTATGACTGAGTTCTGG